GGAGGGAAAGGGGGATTGAGCAGGATCGGGCGACAGGGGCGGCCACAGCAGCTTCGGGGGAAGCGGGCATGAGGTGAGGCAGCTGCGCAGAACCTGAGGCGGCTGGGGGGAGGGGTCAGGCGCCTGGGGTGCGTGGCCCCTTGGCTTTCTGATCCGCACCATCCCCTGTCCAGCAGGCCCCCCCCATACGCCCACGCGCTGGCACCTGCGCGCGATGCCTGCCGCGAACACGTCCGGCAGGTGGGCCAGCAAGTTGGCCGTCATGAAGGCGCCGTAGGAGTGGCCCCCCACGCTGACGCGCGCAGGGTCCGCCACGCCGCGCCGCACGAGCTCGTCCACCGCCGCGCGGCCGGCGGCGGTGAGCTGCTCCACGTAGGTATCGTTGGGCTCCGCGTCGCCTTGGGGGACAGACAGGGGTTGTGATGTGATGGGGTGGGGGGGAGGGGCGGTGGTGGTTGGTTACGAGGGTAGGACGGGTTTTGTCTAGGTTTGGTTGAGGTTTGGAAACCACCTGCTCTTGCAGAAGGCTGCCCCAGTAGTGCCCCCAAAATTTTGCATCGTTCGTAGAGGCCCAGAAAGACAGGTCAATAGGTAGGTGGGCGAGAGGCGTGTGCTGCGTCCACAAGAGGGGTTCGATGCCGCCGCTTGCTGGTGCCCTCAGCACAGCGCAGTCCAGTGGCTGCCCCTTGCCGTCCCGTGGACTGCAAGCAGGCCCCAGTCCAAACCTCTGTCGTTGCCCCCCCCCCTCATGTCGCGCGCGGCCGCGCCCGGGCTCACCCTCTGCCACGATGGGGAAGGTGGGGCCGTCCAGCACTGCGTAGCCCCGCGCCAGCCAGAGCAGCTGCCGAGGCGGACCAGATCACGGGGACGCATGTTTGAATGAAATGCAGGTTTGAACAATTCGTGTGAGCCGGCAAGGTTCCAGGCCTCTCTGCGGGCGCGGCAAGCCAGCCCGGTCATGCGCCGGACCAGCTCGCCCGCTGGAGCACCCATGCCGGCTTCCCCTTGAGGACCCCCTATCAGAACAATTGCCCCACCCCTCCCCGTGTGCGCCGCTCACAGGGCTCTGGCTGCCAATTGAGCTGAACTGGTGGGGGCTGCGCCGCATCTGGCCCGCGGCCTCCTGCGGGGGCACAGCGCGGCGGCCGGGGCGGGAGCGGGTGCTTAGCGGAGCCGGAGAGCCCGCCAGGGATGGCAAAGCCGGAGGAGGCCCCCAGGTTCGAGGGAGGTGGAGCCGTGCGCACGCACTTGCCCGACGCGCTGGGCGCGCGCACACAGGGCCCGTGCGACCGCAACTCGAGCCGCTGGCGGCACGGGAGCAGACCTCCAACTGCCCTCTGCCCTCTGCCCCTCCTTAACCCTCAAATGAGAAAAAATAGATAGGCCACAACCAAGCGAGGGCGCAAATCAGAGCAACAAAGCATCTCAGGGCGGGCTGAAGGGGGGAGGGGGTGGCTGTATGGGGCGCGCCTTTGACTTGTACTCCCGGGGGTAGGCCCACAGCAGGGTGGGCAGCGGCCCGTCCCGCGCGGGGTCGTGGCCGGGGGGGAGGTACAGCGTGCCCGTCAGGTCCACGCCGTCGTCACGCTTGTATCGCAGCACCTTTGTATTGTGTGTGTGTGTGTGTGTGTGTGTATGTGTGTGTGTGTGTGTGTGTGCAGAGGGCACGGGAAGGGAGAGTTTCAGTGCAGCATGTTCCCGAGTGGAGGTGCCAGCGCTGTGCAACTTGTCCGTCGCCGGCGGAGCTGAGTTGCAAGTCTGAATTGCGGTACAGCAGGGGTGCATGGCACGTGCTTTGGCCCCCTCAAGCATGGGCGCCGAGGTTTACACTGCTCGGGTGTGGCCAAAGGCAACGCACAGCAGAAGCAGCACCCAGCATGGGCCATGCGAGCCTCTCGCATGCAGGCGCATTCATGATTCATGTCAACCCCTGTTTCGCTGCCCTGCATGCAGCCCCTCACCTCCTTATTAAGGTCCCTGAGTTGGGGGTGGGGGTGGGGGTAGTCTGTCAGCCGCCGCTCGCTGGTCGTCACCTCGCCGCTGGGGCCCCGGGTGAGCGTCATCACCCAGGTCTGATGACGGGTGGAGGGTTGGGTGTATGGGTTGGGTGTTGAGAGGTGCAAATTTGAGTTTGCTTGTGTTGACGTTGAAATTTTCTGTTTGAGGTGTACCCTTGCACGCGTTCAAGCAGGGTGTGTCGCGGACAGGGCCGGGGAGGGGAGGGGTGGAGATTGAGGGGATCAGGCAGGCCAGGGGGCAGACCAGGAGCAGGAACCAGCGCCAAGATTGGCGGGTGAGGAGGCTGACTGGAGGGCTGCGGGCGCCTCGGGCTGCCCGAGCAGCTGGGTAGCGGGACAGAGCATGGCGCACAGTGGGGAGAG